CCTTAGTCCCCTTAGTCCCCTTAGTCCCCTTAGTCCCCTTAGTCCCCGTTTTTATAAGGAAGAGGAGACAAGGTACCAAAGAATTCTTGAATTCTGAATTTAAAGAATTTCTTAGTCCCCTTAGTCCCTTATTTCAATTTGAAATCAAGTGCTCTTTTTTTTTTAAATTCAGATTGAAATTAAATAACCCATTGTATGGAATTTAAAGAATTTTGTTAGTCCCCTTAGTTCCTCTGCCTTGGTAAAAATGACGTGTTTTTTTTTTCAAAATTCAATTTGAATTAAAAAAACCCATAGACTCCTTTTTGGCTTCTTATTCAATGCAGCGCACGATTTAATCTTCAGAATAAAGAACAATTTTCGATCACAACAATAAAAAGTATAACTGAATTTCAAATGAATTGAATTTTCAGAAGAAAAATCTACCAAATGAAATAAACCAAAAATTAAAAAGCTTGAAATTCGGTTTGTTGATATAGAATTTTGATATAGAGTAATACTAAAAAGACTCTTGTAATCTGATTTTTAGCAATTGATGGTGCTTATTTTGCATTAGTGCGTGTTTCGAAGTATGAACTAAAAATAAAAGAAAATGTAGACCGGAAAATGCTGTCGAATATTCTGTTTAGAGCTTAACTTGATTTAAATTTCAGATATGAAAATTCTACCTTTCCCTATACCCTCTTAACTGAGATGTTAGTTTAGTAAAGAGCCCAAAACGTGTAAAACTAGTTTTTTTTCGTTCTTTCAATTTCTTTCCTAGGCTTTAATATTTCAAACGCAATTCAGTTTCAATACTATTCTATATTTTATTATTGCCACAGACACCTATTTATTGTTGCAAAGATTGAATTGTGTGTTGCATTGGATTAGAAGCGAAAAAGAAAGCGCTTCTTTCGATTTAATTATTTTTTCTTTTTGCTTTATACAAGAAATAAACTGAAGTCGAAATGACTGGCAACGAATTATCTGCGCAGTGGATTTCTGATTGATTTTCAAAGAATAGTATCACAGTACGCCAATGTTCAAACTTGTTTGACATCGTTGAGTTGAATCACAATGTTTGCATTGAGAAATAAAATAGTTGCATATCTCAATTGAAAGAAAATTTCATTGATTCTACTCTACTATTGAAAACTATTTGTGAATATCTATTCTCGATTTCAGTTTTAAATCGAAAAAATCATAGACTGATTTGCTCCTTACTATTGAAATATACTACAATATGATTTCAATTATCACCTACAGATCTCATACAGCAAGTCACACAGAATTAAAAGACCAGTGATTTGAGGTGATACGAGGCTTACGATTTTTCTTTGCGTGTTGCATACAAAGGTAAAAAAAACATCTGAGTGTTGTCAGTGAGATTTCAAGAAAAAAAGGGAAGAATTCAAGTGGTATTTTCAATTAACTCTCGTTTGCGCGGTAATTTTATGTAAATGAAATTCATGACTTTGTATTAGATGTAAAAAAGAAAAATATCTTAATTCAATTTTTTTTCATTAGAAAATTTATTCGATGAAAGCTGAGTGTCTCATATCTATATGCAAGAAGCCTTTGTATAACATACATCACCTCATCCTGAAGGAACCTACAACATGCATATTTATCTACTAATTCTCTTTCTCCTGCCTGCAATATATAATACGACGATACATCAGTGAAATGAAACACAAACGCTCATTTTCTTATCGAACACAATCGCACACTACAATCAAGATCAGGTCGATAAACATAGCAAAACACAGGGTAATCATTCTTATCCAGTATTGTTAACTATACTTGCAGATCCACACATTATTCCGTGTTATCCTCCGCTATCGGTACCTCCTGTCGGTAAAGTTTCTCATCAAGTGCGTAATTCACCATTGCAATTTCTGTCTCTATTCTTACGCATCATTCAATCTAGTATTATCATTCATTGACAAAAGATATGCCATCTCGTTTTGTTATCTATGCAACCATCCGACCACCCAAAAACAACATCCATCCGACGAACAATCAGTTTGCCAAACCTCAAGACATTTTGTTCCCGGTTATATTCCTAAAATCTTTGATTATTCATATTTTCTCTTTGTGCAAATAGATGTCAACTATGTTAGCTGCGCGTTATCATCAAGGCAAATCCCAGGTTGCTGTGATTGGAGGGGAGGAGGAAGGAAAGAAGAAATACATGAGAGATACCTCTCCCCAGAATAAATCTGCCACGCAAATTGTCAGTCAAAATTTTGGTAAATCAGTCAACAATCAAACACCTGCCGACAGTGCCACCAAAATTGATCAATATTCTCCGTCATCAATACAGGTGAGATAGCAAAATGAGGAGTATGCTCATTATTAGATTCTATACGCCTAAATATTTATTATTGAAGATCCTGAAATTGTTTAGTTTTCGTTCTATGAATAAGTTCGTATTTGAAGTATATACATCTTCATCGAATTTTAGAAACGGTCAACAGTTCTAGTTTCATGCAAAACCCGATAGAGAGTGTCCAACAATTTTTACCCTAATAAGTATATTTGTGTGCAACTAATATATTTGACCACATACTCTGTTAGCTAAACTCTTAATGAAGTGGTTCTCCAGACTGAGAGAATGATCATTGTAATAAAAATCGAATGTTTTTCTATCAGTAAACGATTTTTATGTATGCTTTCTACACTTCTTTCTCTTCGATCAATGGGCAACGTAATTTGAATCCATACAACGACTAATTTTAAGAAATAGAATTTATATCTAAAAAATTTAGTGAGAAAGGACAGAATGACAACAAAACTAGAGAACTTTCGCATCCTGCTGCTCAAAAACTGTATTTTGACGTGTTTTTAAGGAAAAATCTTTGCCTTTCAGCATTGTTTCCATAAAACAAACTGGGAATATATTGGTTTACATAGCGTCTATGTCGAAAAAAAGTATTTCAAAAGGGAAGTACTAAATAAGGGTCGAAAGCGCAAGGAAATACTATCATGTTATACGTATTTCAATAGCCTTTTTCTTAGTTAGTTTCCCTATTGTAATTGAACTTTTCCTGGTTCCATCAAAACACCTGCCTTTGCCTTAGAAGACAGGTTAGAGATCGATTAAAAGTCAGATGATAGATTGAGGGAGTTTCGAGAATATAATTTAGAAAGATAACGAATGATCAACAAATATTGATTGGTAAAAACTTAAGTGAGTTAGTTTTGGTGATATTTCTATTTCCATTAGTTAAATATAAAATTATCTTTGTCCCAATGGGTCTCATTTGTATTTGAGTTGTAATTACAAAGAATTTTGTTTGATTCAATGATAAAACTGAAATCAAAATGAAACTATTTATCCTTTTTATTTTGTCTATGTTCGTCTTTTAAATTAATTCAGACAACTGGCTCATTGTCAAATGGAATGGATTCTAACGATATCCATCACCAAGCAGCCAACAGAAATAAAAAGAAACAGCAAATAATTGTTTTGCATTTTTTCTTGTTAACTATTAAAAATGTTTCATTTAGCTATTTTAAACACATTCGTTGCCAATATTCACCTGTCTGTTTAATTCTGTCTCTATTTGCTCTTCTTCTTCTTGGTGCGGGAATTGCTGCAATGCTTGTCGCCCTGATCGGCATCTCTAAAACGACAATAGCAACAACAACAGCGACAACAACAACGTCAACGTCCATGACAACAACAACGTCAACATCCATGACAACAACAACAACATCAACGACAACGACAACATCAACGACAACGACAACATCAATGACGACAACAACAAGTAGGGCAATATTTGCATTTTTATAATGTGGGTGGGTGTGGATGTGGGTGTCGGTGTTGTTGTCTTCTTCAGATGCACTCACACTCACATCCCACTCACACCCCACACCTTACACCGACATCCACACCCACACTCACCACCCCACACCCATACCCACACCCATACCCACACCCACTACACACCTTACACCGACACCCACACCCATACCCACACCCCGCACCCACACCTACCCCACAGCCTCTGTGTCGTACTGAACCGATCGACAACCATTATCTGTTACGAGTATGATCAACGAAACTGGCAGTTTTCATGTAAGTTACCGGTCAATTTAATTTGTTCTTAGTTCGCTGAATAGTTTCGGATTTGAACAAGCCAGTCTTCCGATAGGAGTGAATCGTTAGCTTAATAACTGTTTTGACATATTTTGACAGTAAAAGTGGATTATATAATCATCGGAATTTTGGGAAGGAAAAAAAAGCGTTTTAACAGTGGATATGTGTTTTCTAAATGCGAAACTTGGTGTAGAAATATTTTAATCAGTAGTTTTAGTGTTGGTGTAGTCTACTTGAATATTCTTCATATTATCGATTTGCTTTTATTGTTCTAGCTGCATTATGTAACTTAACGTTATCATCAATGGTGTCATATCCAGCTAGTACTAGTTGTCGGGGGGTCGCTGTTGCCGATTTCAACAATGATAATCGATCAGATATAACTTATTCTGATGGTAACTTTGCGGGTATACGCCTTGGTTCTAGTAACGGAACTTTCACCGTGGGAACAATGTTTCCAGTTGGTAATATTCCATTTGGGATCGCCGTAGCTGATTTTAATCACGACAATCAACTAGATCTGGGTGTTACCAATTATAATGATAATACAATGAGTATCCTTCTTGGATATGGAAACGGAACGTTTGCATCACAGAAGACATTTGCAACCGGCTCTGGCCCAATAACGATAATAATCAAGATATTGTTGTGGGCAATAAACTCACTACTACTGTCAGTGTATTTCTTGGTTATGGTAATGGGACCTTTTCAAATCAACTCGTATTTCAAATAGGTAATGGACCGTTCGCAATCGTTGTTGGTGATTTCAATCAGGATAATATACTGGATATTGCGGCTGCCATTGAACTTAGTGCCAATGTAGCTATACTATTTGGTCGTGGAAATGGGTCTTTTGCAGGTCTAATGACGTTTACAGTTGGAACTAATCCTTATGGGATCACTAGCGGTGATTTTAACAACGATTCTCGATTGGATCTCGCTGTTACCAATTTTGATAGTAACTCTGTCGGCATACTTCTTGGATATGGCAATGGCACCTTTGCATCGCAAATGACATTTTCAACAGGAAGTGGAACGAATCCACACTCGGTCGCTGTCGCCGATTTCAATAGTGACAATAAACTTGATATAGTTGTTGCTAATTATGGTGGTAGTGGGAGCATATCGGTGCTACTCGGATATGGTAACGGATCTTTCGCAACAGCAATCAGGCTTTCAGCTGGTTCTCAGCCATATACGATCACCACTGGAGATTTCAACGGCGACAGTCGACCAGATATCGCTGTTGCAAATGCAGGCACTCCAAGTGTAGGCATCTTTTTAAATACGTGTTCATGTTGTTAATTTAGAATATAACAACAGCAACTGTGTAACAGATATTACTGCGACAGGACTCCTTATTGACAAATTACTCAATGATATGTTACTATGTTATATATTCGCTTTCTCATATATATCTTTAATCATATACTCTTTATTATTCTTCTATCTTTTTATTTATCCATATTCATATCGATATTCTCTCTTTTTTATATTTATATAAACTCATTTATTATATGCGATATTCTACTTGTGATAAAAGTATCAAGAAGTACAAGAGTTTGTTGTACTTGAAACACAACTTTTTATTGAATAAAGTCCGTTTAAGAAAAGTGTACATCGAATAAGAGAAGAGTTATAATCAAAATAATTGAATTTAATCATAAGTAGGGTGTGGGTGTGGGTGTGGGTTTGGGTGTGGGATGTGGGTGTGAATGACAAGCTCAGCCACGCTCCACACCCACATCCATACTCATACCCACCCACACTCACACCCACACCCAACTCGAAGAAGACTTATTGGATGGTGATGATGACGAGGAATTGGATTCTGAAGCCGAAGATATGACTGATTGATACGCAAAATTTATTTTGTTTTCATTCTTTTCTACTACCAAGTAGTACTTTAAAGATAACTATATATTCCATTAAATATGCTAAAGAAGATTTTCAAAGTGTAATAGCTTTTGTGTCATTTTAGTTTGACAGTAGGACAATCGAACTATGATGTAGCGTGAGTAGTATCAATTTTCCCCGACCAAAGAAAGATTTCTTTACAAAATGTATAGTTCCATTCGATTCAGAATGATCGAAAACCTAGTTATTTCTAGATAACATCAAAAATACTGAACTTTGAAAAAATATTATTGATGTATTTTAAGCGTTTTTGATGATTATTGTAGGACCTATAACTTTTGAACGAAATTAGATAAAAAATTCGGATTTATGCAGAATTGTAGATCTTGAGTAGGGCTATCTAATGCACTCCATACAATTGAAATTCCATACAACTTTTATAGCACTTTCAATGCTTCTTTGAATTTCACGGACTACTCATCCAACTTATGAATTGAACTGATTACTATTTATATAGAACGATGCAGAATCACTGCCTCTTTCTGATGGTGAAAACCGCAGATCGATAGCTATTACCGTTCAAAAATTATTCAAAAACAATCACCCTTCTTTTAATTTGAAATGGACATTAGTTTATATTAGCGCTATTTGCGCTCAAAACAAATTATATATCACATTTATTTATACTACATTATTTAAAGAATATGATTTTATTTGTTATAAAATTATGTATTCAGACTGACTTATCAATTTTTAATTAATTGATACATCACGTGCTCATCTATACAGTATTGAAAAATAATCTAGTTTCCTTCACAATCATTCCAACCATTGTCACTAGATGACCCTTTGTCGCATGACTATCAAATACTCATTCGTATGTACCATATTACTACATCGTCATTTGTACCATAGTTACCAAATGGTTATTTGTACCATGTTACAGACAAGTAACGTTCATCGACAGTCGATTCATCTGGCCCTAGACTGACGCCATAACGACATACATTTGTTAGAAAGTTATAAGATTAAGATTAAAAAGTTACTACTAAAATTCTTTTTAGTACAAAAAAGTGCCAATAAAATTAGCGCTGTTTATACTCAAAAAAAATCATATTTAAAATAATATCGTTTTCATACATCATAAAAATACGTATTTGTTCTGATTCACTTGTCAAAATTTTATTATACGTCATATGCTGATTTATAATATGGGTGCTATATAGTCTTTTGTACCATACTTACCGAAATGGTCATTTATGCCATAGTTACATGGTCATTTGTACCAAAAAAATGGTCATTTGTGCCAAAAAACTAGTCGTTTATACCAAAAAAATGGTCGTTTGTGCCATGTTACCGACAAAAACGATACGTGCAGTGAGATGAATTCCCGTTTCTAGACCCTAGCCTTACAGTCTAGGGAACTACTCGTATAGCTAATTTGAATAATACGCCAAACAAGACAGTCATACAAATCGACGATCGTTAATTGAGCTCTGCATTCTTTCTTTTCATTCTGTTTTCATTTTCATTTGAAATTTTCTTAACTCTCTAAATATAACAAATATAAATAGACAATACGCATTTAAACATTTTCAATAGAGTCTGGGGCGTGGGTGTGAGTTTTGGTATGATTATTCTTTACATCTGTTACTTAAACTGAGACATGCAGGAAAAAATATTTTCCTGAGTTATTCTATTCGATATCCTTTGGAATGTTTTATAAACTTGTATAAATGTTGTATAAAGTTTACTTCAATCGAATCACGAATACTTCCATACTATTTTAGATTACGGTATAGATGTGAATTTAGGATGAAAAGAACACTCATGCCAATATCCACATCCATCCTTTTGTGAACATTTATCGACTATTATGACTCTGCAAAACAAACTTAATGAACTCGGTAAATTTGCTATTGAACACTTTATGATCATCAATACTTGCATAAAGAGTGTGGGTGTAGATGTGGATGAGTGTGGGTATGGATGTTGATGATGACTTTCCCTACACTCACACTCTCATTCCTATATATAACTATGCCAAAGAAGCAAAGATAATATTGTTTCAACTGTAACTACTGTAATGACAAACTGTAGAAGTAGTTCCACTCCGTCCTTGTTAATGATGTTTATTGAGCTACTTTAATATGTTCAGAATTTAACTACTGTTCACAGACAATATACGCTCATATACTATGCTAAAAGAAAGAACCATACAGAGTAGATAAGCAGTGGAGAAGAAAGGAAGATCAAGGAAGCAATATGGATATAGGTGAAAGCAAATATAAACGAACACTCACCTATTTCTACCTGATAGATTGGAGAGTCTACGTGTGACTGTAAGGAAACATTCTTTTCACCTACACTCCATTTTATAAACCTTTTAGATACTCTAAAACTTTGGAAAGTATTTCTTTAGGAAGAGGTAGATGAATCATTTATGACTCATTAAAATATTTATATATCATTGACACATCGGACTTGAGTTATTTTCCACGTGACTTCCCGTCCTTTAATGCTTTGAGAAAGACAAGGTGATAGACACTGTTTAATAATAGTTGCTCATGTATTCGTGCGTCATTGAATATTCTTTTCTGTCATATTCATTTATTACTTTTTTTTTTGAAATATATCGTCTTATTGGACAAATATTACTTTGTCAAGCTGCAAAATCAAGTAGCGTAATATTACATACCAATAAATAAAGTGAGGCAGGTTCTACATAAAAAAAATCTCTTCAATACTAACGAAATAATTGATTTATGAAAGATTCATTTGTGATTAATTCTGCTTAAATTGTTTAATTAAAATCATATGGTTATAATGAATGAAAAATCGACTATTTCATGATTATTGAAGAAAGTTTTTTTTTTTGCATGCATCGGCATGAATTAATTCTCTTCTATGTTATTTAATGGAATATTAAGAACTTATTAAGAATTTACTCAAATTGTGACGCTTCATATCTCAATGAGATGACAAGTGGTTTATAAATAAATAAGTAAGATGAAACAAACTGGAGCATTTTCTTTCTTTTTTGTTTTACATTAGTCTTGATTCAATAGTAATGACGATAAAGGATTTCATAAGCATCTAGCAATTACTATTGCCGTCTTTTTTTTTCTCGTCTCACTATTGAATAATGACTAATATAAAAGAAAACAGAAAGCAATCTGTCTTGCTTGTTTGTACGTATTTATTTGTTTATAAATCATTGATCTTCGATTTAACATGTGATGAAATAATTATATCAAATAAATCTTTGTATTAAAATAGGAATAAAATGAGACATACATGCGAATATTCAAGGTAGTTTAGTAAAGAAGATATTGCGTATATAGACACTAATACGACATTTAGAGAAATATAAAAGAAAGTTTACATATTATTGCATTTTTTAGCTCTTTAGTCTTGTCTCCGTCATAATGACAATATGAAACAAAGTCAATACATAAAACATAGTTCTTTTGACAAGAAAATAAACGGAAAATTGAAATCATTTATAAAGACTAGTGCTGATAATGAAGAACACGTAAGACAACATTCACGACAAGACGAAGTAAGCCAGTTTTATTTTGCATGCAAAAATGGAGACATTGATACAGTCAAACAAATATTACCTACCATTCCTTATGATCGATTAAATCAACTAGAACCTAACGGAAGTACTCCACTTCATGCTGCAACATACTTTGGTCATTTAGAAATCGTTCGTCTACTTCTACATGAATACGGTTGTCTCCGTCACCAACAAAATCTTGATGGCTTAACAGCATATGAAAAAGCACAAACAGATGAAATGCGACAACTCTATCATCGGCCATCGAATAAAAATCGATTCTTTGATGAATCAAACAGTATGAAACGAACATTTCAAATTGTTTCATCATTTTCAGATAAAACTGAATTAGACAATCATGACAATGATGATCATAGTAGCAATGACGATGATGATGATGATGTTACTAAACCAAACAAAAGATGGCTCACTGGATATCAGACAAATGAAGAAATAAAAAGACAATTGGATGGTCTTAGTGGCGTGAAAAAAATGCTTCAGTCACGAGTAGGACGATTCATCATGAAAAAATCTATGAAACATGGAATTTGCAAAGCGGACTGTGGGTATAGTGACGAAGAATATGTATATGTTGCAAATAAGGGATTTGAACGACATACTTTGAAAAAATTGTTAGATGAACATGTTACTCCCGATCATCCAGAATATAAACGTTGTTGTTTCCTACTTAATCAATATATTCAACAAGATAAAATTGAATCTTTATTGACACTCTATTCATTGGAAACACCGTTTTATCAACAATTTTGGACAAACACCAATCCATTAGGGTTTCCATTGTTTATGCGTCTTTCGGATTTGAAACTACGTCATTTTCAAGGAAACTCTTATCGGGGTATTAATATGACGCATGAAGAATTAAATGAATATCGGTGGGCATTGAAAACCAAGGACAGTGTCATATCAACAGCAACGTTTGCCTCAACATCTATTATTCGATCTGTGGCTGAAGATTTCGCTGCTCTGGCTTCATTATCACCAAACAAAGTAAATGTTTTATTAATATTTCATTTTTCGCAACCATGTGATACAGCAATCAACTTAAGTAAAATACCTGAATATGGTCTACCATGTATATCGAATTTTGAAGATGAATATGAAGTATTGGTTTGTCCACGAACATTTTTCAAAGTTAAGCAAATAGAAACCAATGAATTGAATGGGCAACATATAATTTATCTAGAAAACATATGTGGTGAACAGAAAAGTCTATTAGGCACGGGAAAATTTTTCATAAAACAAGAACTAATTAATCGATTTCGTCATTGAACAATGATCACTACATTGACTAGATAAAATGTTTAATTTTTAGACCATTGTTTTCAATAACAGATACGAAGGGTGTGGATGTGAGCGTGAGTATAGCTCAAAAGTGTAAGCACACGAACACACAATTACACCCACACCCTTAAATCTATTTGATGTAGTTCTTTTAATCACGGCGACAGGATTCTGACTCAAAAATTGCATAACATTCACTTGAGTAATATCAATCCTTTTTTTCACAAAGTTTTTCTTTTGGTGGTAAAAAAGAAAGTTTTAATTCATAAAATTAAACTCTCACCCATTTATTACTTTATTCCTAATACAATATATGGCATTCAAATAATTTTTCCAACAGCTTTTTTAGAGTTAGCTATTCACATAGATGTGAACGGTAGTCCACGCATAACATCGAACACTGGTACTCTTTCTTACCTTTTCGTTTTGCGTCAACTTTAAATACAGCATACTTGTATGGAATAAAACGAAGAAGGGTGTGGATCTTATTCTGACACAGTCGCACCCACACCCCACACCAACATCCTTACGGAACAAAATATTTTCTATGTTGCTGCTATGTTTGTGATCCATTCGTCTTTTTCGTAAATTTCCTAGAAATGGTTTCATTGTGGTATTTTTTGAAGAATTCTGTTCCAATAGAGAATTGGAATACATATTTCTCTGCGTTTATTTTGGTTGTGATTCTGCATATACTTTTCTATAAAAGCATTTTCGATATGGCTACAAATCTTGCTGTACAACATCCTCAACTCTTCTACATTCTACTGTCTATCATAGAATTCTTATCAATAATCATCATATCTATTTTATCTAGTCTGGGTGTCATTAAAATATGGAGTAATTTCTCGATTGTAAACATAAATATTGCATCGCTGTAGCCTATTGCTAGTTGTCGACTGTGATCGTATCTGGACATATGGACTAGTCATTATGTTCCTTAAAGTATTCAATATATCTTCAGATGATTACAATATTTGGATATCGATTACATCGAGTGCCTGCGAAATATATCACTTTATTAAAAATATGATTGTGACAATCTGTTGCGTTATCCCTATCGGATGTGCATACTTTATTCTATTGTTCATTATTTTCTCAGTTTGTCGCCGGTGTTGGTTAAATAAAAATTTATTCACGGTCCACTTTTGGCGGCAGTTGATTAAATTGAGTTTGGCACGACAATGAGCAATCAATGTACGCTTCCTCGATTGTTTGTATTTCATCGCTATTAACAGTAAACATACAATTGAAAATCTTCGATAGATACTGATGTTGATTTGAAGGTGTGGGTGAGCCTATAGATCTTCTAATCATACTTTTAAAATTTTCAAATATACAACTTTTATTTTGTATTAACTTAAATAACAAAAAATATATTAAAAAATCTATTGAGAAGACAATTAAAGAAAGCTCTACATTATTTAGAATAAATTAAACGAAATTCAATATCAAATCTTACAATTGTAGAATGTTTTCCCAATGAACTATTAATGAGTGTGTGGGTGTGGGTGTGAGTCAAGCAATACTTGCCATCTACACCCACCCTGGAGGTTTTGAACTAGTTCATATTTTCATATTATAACTTTTTTGGTTTCTTTATTCATTTTTCGTACCATGAGAAGTGCAAACATTAGAACTTGTCGCTGAAAAATATAGGACAGAAAAAAGAAATGATCCTACAGGATGGTATATAATTCAAAATATTTTATTTAATATAGAGTCGAATGACTTCAAACATATTGTATCACTGCAATCAATCTGAAAGTATGAGCTTATTTTTCTATGTTAATTTATATATCTTTAAGCAATATGCTAATCATAATACTTCTATCAGAGTTGTTTGTTATGATAAATGTTGATTGGATTCAATTAGACTCACGAGGTGTCTATCAAAATATTTCCATCTAAATCTTCCCATACAACTCTAATCTATATAAATATCATTCAGATACTAAATATATACATAAGTACTCGCATATAATCTTATCGTAATCGTTGTCACACCATTAATAGTGGTAAGTTAGAGCATTTTTATAGAAGCTTAGTACTTTTATGTCGATATTTATCAATATATTTGATTCTAACTCGAATTTTATTTAATCTAAACTCATCAAGCTACTTCAATTTTTATATAATTCTCTCATTTCCTTTTTTCTTGTGTGTTTTCGAATATTTTACTATAAATGCGATTGACGATATTTTTCCATGTTTCACATCTTTAACCGACCAATAAAAATTCTCGATGAAGTTTTAAATACTTGATGCCTATCGTATCTTTTTGTATTGAGTTTTTCAAGATAGAATTCTGAACTCTTCGTATAAATTCAAATTGTTGTATGCGCATCAAAATGATGATTACATTATGATAGTGTATTTTAAAAAGCTTCATAGATATACGACGATATTGTAATTCTAGTTTTTATCTAAAAATACCGACTTGGTGGGAATTAGAATGTTTTTTTTCTTAAAATAAACTATATAAAACCTTAAATAAATTAATATCTTTCTACAGAAATCTAACTAGTAAATTTGTTGAAACGCCAATTCTTATGATGAATGGCATTTAATTTTAAAGCTTTGTTCTTAAAAATCAGTGATGTATATTTTGTTTTTAACTAATTTTTGAAAAGGACAGAAAACAAACAAAATATTAATTTAACGGATAGTCTGAAAATTTTGAGACAAAATATTTGCTTATTTTTGATCTACTTGACAGTATTTAAGACGAATTAAAACCTATGGACTAGAACTAGAACTGTGTACTGTTTTTGAATGTGATCTTAGAAATTCTTTGTCAGTTTTTGTTTACGAGTACTTAGAAAATGTTTAAAAAGGGGTGAGGTGTGGGTTTGGGTGTCGGTGTCTGGATATGAATGTGGATGTAGGGCCTGGATATTCTCTTTATCCACACCCACACCCAGATCCAAGATACATTGTTAAAACATACTCTTGTCTAAGTTCAAAACAACTTCTATTTCACACTATAATCACGGAAGATGAGTACTGAGAAAAATACACTTCTCTATCGCGATAGTTATGTGAAGGCGACGACAAAAAAAAAGTTTCCACATAAAAAGACATTGTTCGTTTGTTATTCGATACAGTTAACACCAATGGTAGATTCTAAGAGGTATGTGAGCGCAATCGCACCTCTACCTTCCATTCGAGCTTGACTTCACGTGTTTTCTAGTGATTCTTCTTGAAAATTTTTTATTTTTGTCTCATCCATCTCCTTCTCTTCGACTTATTCGTACCTCGCTTCAGAAATTTCTGGATCCACTACTGCTATATGATGAATCATCCTAAAACCCTAATAACCAGTCAAAAAAGCATTTCACGGCCATTTTCTTTCGAATAATTTCTTATCGATAAACGATAGAAATCTGCAGCTTTTGTCATAGTTTTTCATCCTCTAGAAAAAATTTTAAATCAGAATCAGAACCAAAGATTCCATATTATAAGAAGAAAATAAAGACTAAGGATATTGACACGATTCAGGAAATGAAAGAATTGATTTCAGTATGAAAATAGCTGTCTTTGCAAATGTATAATTATATATCATCGCCCAAAATTACTCATTTTTCAAGAAAAAGATTCATGATAAGTAGATTTCCAACTTTATACAGATAAAATAACATCATAACTGTGAAAAAATGCAAAAAAAATCAACTTATGAATAAATACAATATTTATGTCGTTCAATACGAATTGGTCATTTGTGATTCATTCTGTACGTCCACACTTTGCTCAAATTTAGTCATGACAGTGTCATAATGAGCACCGACATAAGCTATTCGTATGGCTGACTCGATGCCAATTCTACTGAATTAGTGCCAGAAAGTAGATGACTAACCTACGTTGCAAATATCGGATTAATTTTAACGGTAAATCGCGATAAATCGTACATAGAAACAGAAAAATCTCATGTTAGAATGTAGAGTAATATTTTCTCATTTTTTTGACAGATAAAAAACATATATCTAATATCCAAGTTCATCATACAAATTATATTTATACTCACTGAATAGTAAAACGAACATAAAAAATAAAATGAAAATACATGTAGGTCGTTACAAAGTTATAGTTTTAAAGATCATTATTCATACAATTCCGATGATGCCTAAGGCAATAAAAAACTTTGTATTCAAACTAATATCTTGCGCTCTCAATGGACAGAAGCTAGTTGCAGAAAGACTAATTCACCAATTGTAATCAATGAAAAATCATGAAGCTCTAAAATGAATCGAGGATAAGAAACATTTTCATTCTCTGTTGATGAAAAAAAATGTGAAAATACAATTTTTCTAAGTTCTGTATCAAGCAGAACTGATGAATCATTGAACATTTTGTAAATTTCACTCACGATCATAATAAAGAGATTGTCTAATTTCAAATTTCAATTCTAGAAAATTGATAATTAACAAAGATAATTTCTATTCTATATGACAAGGTCAAGAACTTGATCACAAATTTTATGAATAAATTCAAAGTAGTTCGACAAGGTGAATAAATGCACTAACAAGAAACAACTTAAAATGAAGAATACAAAGACAAACAATAATTTTAATGTTAACAATTGTAATAGCACACGTCTAAAACAAACAGTCTAAAAAACTTGATCTTCATTTAATAGTCAGACATATGACAAAAATTTTATTTTATTTTTTCCGTTGTTTTACAACAAAATATTGAGAAAAAACAATATTTAATATACTAGTAAATAAATATAGGTTCAATGTTGTTGAAGAAGTTCATCATTTTCATTTATTAATTTATTATGATTTTCATCATTGAAAGTTAATTTATTTGTTAAAGTATTAAATGAAACAGTAGTTGTCTTTTGAGATTCTAATGAAGTATTTCCAGATAATACTCGTCTTTGACTAAAATTAAGACTTATAGGATTACTTAATTCAAGATTAAGGCTACCATAATGAATAAAATATTGTTGCGGTCGTCGTTGAATTAAACG